GGTGCCGACCGTGCGCTCTCATGCGCGTGCAGTTACGGCTGGCTGCTTGCCAGTAGGGGTTAGGTGAGGCGGACGTTACATCTCCCGCGGGCGCACGCGTGGCGGGGTGGGGCAAGGCTGGTTAGGGCAAGGCGCGGGGTGGCGTTGGCGCGCCAACGCTGCATCGGCGCGCACGGCGGTGTCGAGCGGGCGCCGCTTGATGTGCTCCATCCAGCGCGGTTGCTGCACTTGGCGCTCGCTCGCCCCTATGGCGGCGAAGAACGAAACGCTGCCATGCCCCCCCCCCCCCCCCGCTCCCCACCCACCCACCCGAGAGCACGCGCACGTTAACACCCGCCAGCGCAAGCCGGTCCACCTCCACCCGCCAATCCCACGCAACCCAGCATCGCCTCGCACGTTGCTCGAAGGTTGCAGGCGCGCGCACTTGCACGCCCGCGCGCGACGCCGCGAGTTCAAGCGCGCACGCGCGCGCGAACGCGCGTACAAACCTTCTACCACCCTCCCGCACTGGCGCAAATCGCCTTGACGCCCCACGTAGTGGACGCCCAGAGGAGGCGCGCTCCTGCCCAAGGTCACACCATGGCATTGAATCTGTCGCCCCAGGCGCGGAGAGGACGGACACCCCTGCGCGCGCTGTCCTACGCGGCAAACAGCGCGCACGCGGCGCGCGCGTGGCCACACGAGCCTCGGCTGCGCGAGGAAGAGCACGGACTTGGCGACTTGGCCAAGCCCGCCGAGCCCGAACCGCAGCACCTCGCGCTGCGCGGATGCGCGCGGGATTAATGCCAGCGTGCGCGTGCGGGCATGCGTTCGCGCGCGCGCGCTGGAAAGCCACGCGTGCGCGCGTGGGGGGCGGGGGGGAGGGGGCTCGGCGCACGTGGCGGCGGCAGCGGTTGGGCGCGCGCGCGCAGTTAGTGAGCAACGCGGAGCGGCGCGCGCGCGCGCGAGATAGTCGGCGGGGCCAGGGTGGAGGCTGGCGCTGCGCGGCGCAATGGGGACTTTGACAAGGGCTCCCTCAAAACTGGCACACAATAAGCGGTCTCGCCGTCGGCACCTGCGCACGCAAGGGCGGTCGCGGCGCCGCGGGCCGCTGACGCGAGGGGCTGTGCGAGCTCGCCCTTGCGCGACGGCGGCCCGCTCGCGCGCGCGCTGACCGAACGACGCCCAGACGCTCGGGCAGGCGTTCTGGCACGGTCCGCCAGCGAATGAAACTGGCGCTTATCTTCTCGCGTTCGCCAAGGGGCCAAGGGTGGAGTGGGGTGGTGGAGTTTGCGCGCGCGTGTGCGCGTAGTGGTGATGGCGCGCGCGCGTGATAGCGGCGACGGCGGGGGGGGCGCGCAGCGCGCAGGGCGGGAGGGGGTTGGGGCGGCCGAAGCCAGGTCCTCGCTCCTCGCCAACCGCGTGCTGCAGCCCCTGGCTGGCTCCAAACATGAGAATCACGGCGCCGCGGCGCGTGCGACCCGCGTTGTCGCGTGTTCCGTCGGCGTGGCCGCTCGTTAAGTTTAGGTCGTTGCGCGCGCGGTGGTTGTTTGGAATGCGCGCGCAGCTCGGCGCGAGCCGCGCGCGCTTGAATTGCGACGCGGCCAGCGGCGCGGAGCGCTCAGACAGCGCGCGCGATGTAGCCGCGCCGTGCTCTCGCGCTCCCACGCCCCCTACAGAACTTTTTTTGGGGGGGGCGATTCCGCTGGAGGGAAGTGTAGAGGCATAGGGCACCTGCGCATAGCGCCGCCCTGCCCAGTGGATGACAGGGAAGATGACGACGAACTCTCATGGGGGCTTGCGGCCTTGCTTTTGGCGCGAAGCAGTGCAGCGCGCGATGCGCTGCCCAAGGCCGCCCGAGCGACCCCCCCATCGCCCCCGCCCCCGCCCGCCCGCCCGCCGACCCACCCGCCCGCCACCACCATCGCCCCCTCAACTTCGCCCCACCAGCCCGCCCCCCACACACACGCGCGCACTGCGCCATCACATCGCCCGCGCCCGCCTTCTGCGGCAACGGCGCTGCAGACGCAACGCAAACGCCAAGCAATTCACCAACGTGGCCGCGCAGAACTCACAACAACCAGGGCACAAAGATGACGAATGGAGTGGCGCGGTTGGCCATGGGCGCCGATTCGAGGTTGAGAAGGCGCGCTGCATTTGGGGCGAATGGGGCGTTCATTAGGGGGGGGGCCTGCGCTGGGGACTTCGCGCGGGCTGACGCGGCCTACATTGAGAGGGGGTGCGGTGGGGGGGGGGCGGGTGCAGGGTTGAGGAGGGGCGGCGTGGAATTTCGATTTGGACAAGCGTACAATAATAGTCGACCAACACCCAACTCCGACATCTCAGCCCCCCCGCAATTCGAACAGGGTGGTCTCAGTTGGGGCCTGGTTTGCCCACCAGGACCCATCAACCCCAGACCGCCCTAGCAGGCTCAGATAGAACATCGAAATGTTGATCGGTTTGGCCGATAATTTTCAAAATTGTGATGGCCTGGGCCCCGAACGTGCTCGATCGGCGTTGGCCGATCTTTACCAGTTCCTGTGGCCTCCTGGCGACGTGTCTATGGTCGTTCGATGGCTTTCTGCTGGGGTGTGATGGCTTGCGCGCGCTCACGGACATCCCGCGGTGGGGGCGTGATGGGCGCTGCGCGTTCGGCGCCGTTCCGCGATGGCGATGGGTTCGAGCTGGGGCGATTGCGGCAGCGGCCGACGGCGCCCCGCGATTTGCGCTGCGGGCCCCGATCAACCCAACGCGAGCGCCGCGACGAAGCCATGCGCACTAGGATGCCGCACGGTCACGTCGCCGAACTCACTGCGCTCGCATGCGCAACTCGCCACGGCCGAACCCATCCCCCGACCCCTTCCTGCCTGGGTCTCCGTTTGGTTAGCTCCGCAACTAAGCCAGAAACGAAAACCACCATGCTTGTTGACGACCGTCCAATCCAGCTTGAGAAGGAAACAACATTGCTGGCGCCCTCCTCGCGCGGTTGCGAGGAGCTGTCAGGGCCACATGCCCAATGGAATTGGTCCCGACAGGGGCTATTCCCCTCTTCCTTCTCCCACACCTGGGCCTCCTAACCCACGCGTGGGCAGCTTGGTAGACTCGGCCTCCCTTGCAAGCCGTAGGCCGAATCTACCAAGCAAATTGTCAGGCCAACTGGTCGGCAGGCCAGTAGACCACCGACATAGAAAAAATACAAGGCTACCACGCATAGTAGAATCTGGCATGCAGGACCCCCACACCGCGCAGTGAGAAATATCCTGGCGAAGGGCCCAACCAGGTGCACTTGTGAATACCGAGTGTCCAAAATCGTTTCCAGTGCAGCTCACTGAGGGCCACGAATCGTGTGCGGGAGCTGCCGAAAATGAATAGGGAGTGGGTGGGTGGTGGGTGGGTGGTGGGTGGGTGGTGGGGGGGGGAGAGGTGGTCGGGTGGCGGGTGTTGGTGGGGGTGGGTGGGTGGTGGGTGGGTGGTGGGTGGGTGGTGGGTGGGTGGTGGTGGGTGGGTGGTGGTGTGGGTGGCGGGTGGGTGGTGGGTGTTGGGTGGGTGGTGGTGGGCTGGTGGTGGGTGGGTGGGTGGGTCCCGTGGTGGTTGGGTCGCGTGGTGGGTCGGTGGGTGGTGGATGGTGGTGATGGGTGGGCGGGTGGTGGGCGGTGGGTGGGGTGGGGGGGGGGGTGGTCGGTGGGTGGTGGGCGGGTGGTGGGGGTGGTCGGTGGGTGGTGGGTGGGGGGTGGGTGGGTGATGAGTGGGTGGTGGGTGGGAGGTGGGTAGGCGGTGGGTGGGTGGTGGGCTGGTGGTGGGTGAATGGTGGGTGGGTGGGCTGGGGGGGTGAGTGGTGGGTGGGTGGTGGGTGGGTGGTGGATGGTGGTAGTGGGGGGGGGGGCGGGTGGTGGGTTGGGGGGGGGGGGGGGGGGGGGGGGGGGGGGGTGGGTGGTGGGTGGGTTGGTGGGTGCTGCTGGGTGGGTGGTTGGTGGGTGTTGGGTGGTTGGCGGGTGGGTGGTGGGTGGTGGGTGGGTGGGTGGGAGGTGGGTGGGTGGGTGGGTGGTGGATGTGTGGCGGGCGGGTCGGGTGGTGGGTGGCTGGGTGGGCGGGTGGTTGTGGATAGGTTGGTGGGTGTGGGGCGGAATGCGCGTGGGGGGGGAGTGCGCGCGGTGGACGCATGTGCTGCATGCGGGCGGTGGCACTGGGGCCCCCGACGGGGCACCCGATGGGGCCACTAAACGTGTGAGGGGTGCGCCGAGATGGGCGCGTGGGACGCATGCGCCGACTTCCAACGCGTCTTCGGGCAATCGGCCGCCGACTTCCACAGTGGGAAGGCGGAGCGCGCGAAGCGCAGGAATAGCTTACTACATGCAGCACGCTGCCGTCATATATGCATGTAGATTTCTATAAATGCGTGACTGGCCGCCGCCCTCCAAACTCCTTTCCTCCAGCTCCTCCTCGCCAACCCTCCTCAATCCTCACCCTCCCTGTCGCCATCCCCCCACATGGCGAGAGCCTTGTTCAAGCGCCAACACGCAACATCGCAGGCGCTCCCCATGGCAACGGGGCTGTGGGGCCAACAGGGAGCAGGCGCACGGCGAGAAGCATCGCCCTCTCCCCATCTCTCGCGCCCAAGTCGCCTGATGCGCCTCAATGTGCGAAGCGTGCGCGGGCAGGCGTGCTGCCAGAGTGATTGCTGACTGGGCCCTTGTGGCTCAAACATGTTTGGCGGGCAACTTGCGCGCGAATCTGAAAGACCTCCTGGTGTAAACGAATATGTTGGCTCGTTGCTACGTTGGCGTTGGCCCTACCTTACCGCCAGAACCGCTGAGGCCCCGAGACGTCTATAACACCCTAGGCCCTAGACGCCCAAGGCACCCTCCAAGCTGAACCCCCAAGACGCCCTTAACACCCTAGGCCCTAGGCCCCAGGCATAGTAGGCACCCCCGACATCTCAGACGCCCTGGGCACCTTGTCTATTGGGTCCTATGTGGGTCCTATTTGGGCCCCATGTGGGTCTTGTGTGTGTCCTTTTCGTCTCACGGGGCAACGGGCGGCTCTGCGGGCTCTCCAGGCCGCTGGGCCCGCTCCATCGCCAAAAAAGGCGCGGCCTCTGGCGTCGCCTCCAGTGCCGCCCGCGCGGCCTGGCGCTGCTCGAGGGACGGCCTGAGGAGGCGGACGCGGTCCCACCCCGACATGTCGGGGCTGTGCCGAGCGTGCGCCAACCACGCGCGCAGAAGGCCAAGGGGGCGGCCTTGCCCAGCCCTGCTCGGCCTCTCGGAGCCCCTCCACGTCCTCTGGAGGCTGCAACCTGGGCGCCCCCAGCCCCTGCACTCCGCGACGAAGCGATCGCCGTGCATCTTCAGCACGCCGCCAGGGACTCGCAACTCAACGGCGTGTCCGCGAGGACCTTCATGAGGCAGCCGCGGCGGCGGAGGCTCTGGGGGGGCATCATCGACCATGGACTCCTGGACCTCATCAGGCAGGCCGGGCTCGGCAATCGGCGGAGCGCCCCCGCCGCTGTCGCTGGGACCATCGGCTGCGCCGCCAGGACCGCCGCCCGCATCGCGGCTGCCATCAAGTGGCGCCGCCTGGTCGTCGGAGTCAGAGCTCTCATCGGCCCAACCGAACATGGCCCACTCGTCGGTCGAGATGGCGCCGTCGGCATCCTCGAGCGGCGGGTTCGAGGAGATGCTCTCGAGCTCGGCGCCCTCCTCATCGAAGATGCGATCGTCATCATCACCGCTGGTGCCGCCGCCTGCCTCATCGTCGCCCTCCGCGTCCTCGACCGCCAGCGGGGCATCCCCGCGGGGTCGCTTGGCGCGGGGCCCCCGACGGCGACCGCCTAGCTGCCGAGCCTTCCTGCGAGGCCTGGGCGCGGCGGGCAAGTTCCAGAGATCCACTGGGTCGACCTGGTACTTGGCAATGCGCTGGCGGCGCGGGTCGACGTTCAAAACGCCCGCGGGGGAGGGCACGAAGTGGTGGAACGTGACATCGACATGGGCCGCCCCGTAGTCCAGTGACTCGAGCATGCCCCAAACGTTAAGCGTGCAAGGCTCGCCGAGCTGCCCAGGCGGGCTGTCGAGGGAAGGCGTCACTCCCAGACACAGCGGTTCGTCGCCTGGTCTGTCGCCTAGGGCGCGCTGCCCCGCGGCATCGGAACATCCCCAAGTGGCCTTTGCAATGGGCCCACGGCCACCTCGCGCCCGAACGCGCTGGAAACGAACAAATCCTGCTGACACGGCAAACCCACGGGCCAACACGACCCCGCCCCCCTGTTCGCGAACTAGCCGCGCTGCGTGGCCACTCAGAGACGCCCGAAACCCCGAGGCAACGCCCCCGACACCCTCCCTGCTACGCAGCACGATTCAGGGCCCGATCACCGCTGGGATCGCGGTCCAGCTTGACAAACCCAGCGGCCCACGGCATGCTCCCGCCGTGGCAGATGTACGACAGGCGGAAGAACAGCATGTCAGCATTGTTCGGGGCACCATCGCCATCGACAAGAACAACTCCAGACCCCGCGCCAGCGCGGGGATAGCACTGGATGCCCAAGACAACCTCCCCCCTGTCAATGGTCTTCCGCCACGCCTTCTGGGCGTCGGCAAGCATCGACCCAGCATGGGACAAAGCTCTCCGCAGGCGGCCTTCCAGATCGTCAAGACGCGACCGAGGCTCGCTGCAGACGCACTGCCCAGCTTCATGGCACCGCCGCCGCACGACAGGCACGTTGCCCAGGGGCCTGCAGCTGCCGCGCTCGATCACAATGTGGTCGTCAGCCCACTTATTCTCAGATTCCTTCATGTTTACTCTCAAGAATGCCTGCTCTGCGGCGTCGATTGCCAATGACGTTGGGGGCCGCCAATACACGACGGGCACGCGGTGCGATTGAACAGTGAGGGAGCTGCTGGATGTACGGCGGAGCGGCGCCCAAGCATTCGCAAGGCCAGAGGCGCTCTCCTCATGATGCCTGTCCAGCGCTGCATGCACTTCAACTTCCGAGCTGGCATCTGCCCTGCGCTGCTGAACTGCCTCTGCGAATGCACGCTCAGCTGCAACCGTGATTGCCGACGCGGAAGCACCATCTGCACCAAGGCCCACTGCGCCGCCAACCAGTTGCAAGCGAGTCGCTTGGGCAGCCAGCCTCCAGAAGCTGCCGACGCGCCTGCGGTTCTTCGACGCGCGGGGGGCGAACGGATGATCCCAGCCAGCTTCCCAGAGGTTGGCCGCCAAGCCGCCCATCTCCTGGTGCCGACGTGTAGATTCTGGGCCCAAAGCATGATATACCTGCGGCAGCTCGGCCAAGACCGCAGCGGTGAAACGCCGCCCGCAGGCGCGCTCGTGGAGGAAGGCCTTCCAGGTCCACTGGCTCCGCTGCCTGGCGCTGAGGCGCCTCCGCCGAGGCCCGCCTGGCGGACCTGGCGCCGCAGCGGCGGCGCAGCCTGCAGAATCGCCCCCTCCGCCATCGCAGCGCACCTGGGAATCCAAAGCGCGGCACTGCCTCGAAGAAAACCATGCGGACAAAGATGGTAGGTCGACCGCGTGGGACCACGCGCGGAATTGAGCACGCCTCTCGTTCGCACTGTGCAACCGCTCGGTGGATGCCGCATCGGCGTCGCTGCACATGATGGCGCACCACAGTTCGCACTGGGCTGCTGGGCTCGACGGGCCGTGCAGGCGGTGAGCGTTTCTGAATTTCAACGAATAACCATCCAACTCGCAATCTTTGGCAGCAACGAAAGCATTGAGGGAATCATCGGAACGCAATGTGTCGAATGTTCTGCACGGCCAAGTTACGTGGCGAACTCCCTAATACATGTGCAACCCCGTCCCCAGACGCGCCCCAGCCAGATACACCAAAAGTTGCATGTCTTCGGTATGATTGCTGAGAAATGCCCATGCATCGGGCGACAGCGCCATGTCAGATGCAACAGCGAAACCTTCTTTTGTTATGTTCCCATCGTAAGACTCCCACATCGGATACGAACGATCCCCAGACCGCAGCTGTTTGAGTTGTTGCCGCCTCTCCAAAGACACGCCCGTCACTGACAACTGTTTGAGCACGCACCGCTCACGCGCACCCAAAAACACACGAGCAAGCTTCAGGTCGTCGGGCATGCTCCCACTGGCGGCCCAAGCGTGTGAACCCTTCTGGGAAACATCCATTTCCTCTCGGTAAACGCTGACATCGACGCGCGACTCGGCAGCAGGGGCTCGGCCGCAGCCATCACCGACCTCGGGCGCGCCCCCTGGATCGGGCGCCGCGCCATCCTCGATGGCGGCGTGGCCGCCTGCTGCGTCCAGAGGCGCCTCGGCAGCCCGAGCTGCGGCAGCAGCTGCCGCGGGCTGCGGCAACGCTCCAAGAAACGCAGCAGGTAGCAGACCGTGGACCTGTTTGCAAGCATCGCAATGGCCAAGGGCCTAGCCTAACGCAGGTCTTATGGCGGGCCTGGGGGGGCCATTCCCTTTGGGGTGGGGGGGTGGGGTCAATGGGGCCAAAGGCGGCCCAACGCGAACCGTGCGGCCCCATGGGCCTCAAGTGTCCTAGCTTCCAACCTAGGAAGGGCACACTGGCCCCTTGCTCTGCCATAGCGGCTGCGGGGGGGGGGGGGAGAGGTGATGCTCAGACACAGCGTGCCCCCCTGGCTACAAGTACCGATGTCCGCTGTCTTGCGTGTCTTGAAAAATCAGCCCGCCCATTGGCGCCCATCCTCCCCCACCCTCAGAACTCTCTCTCTCTCTCTCTCTCTCTCTCTCTCTCTCTCTCTCTCTTTCTCTCTCTCTCTCTCTCTCTCTCTCTCTTCTCTCTCTCTCTCTCTTCTCTCCCCCCCCCCCATCCTGCCACTGCCCCGAGCTATCCCCCCACGCACATACCGCGTCATGCCCCCCCCGGGGCGGGAGACCTGCGTTGGCAGCCCGAGGTCATCTGCCGCCTGCACGGCGCCCGTCCAGTTGCTCCGAGCAAGGACCTTGATGTTTCTGGGGAACAGGGCCACGATTCCAACGGACCTCATCAAACCAATGGTCTCCCAGGTGCCTTTGCAACAACCGCGGCAATAATGTTCGTGAACGTCCGGCTTCCTCCAATCCCCGTTCCACAGCTTTGAAATAATAGCCTTTCGCATTGCATCTTTGGGCGAGTTGACGGGGCAAAACATATTCAAACATCGCTGGCGATGGCGATCGGCGGCCATCGACGGGGACCCGCCATTAATGATGACGACGCTCTCAGAGACAATCTTGCGAGCATGATTTCTAAGCTTTTGCATGTTACCACTGCGCAGTGCCATTGCCATTCGAATCATCTTTGCGTCGAGACCGTCCAAAATAGAAAACACGTGTTTGGGGATGGCCTCGATTGCGTGGGCATCACAAGGGAGCCCCAGAAACCTTGTTTTCTGATTGGTCGACCGTTCGGCTCCCTCCGCTCGGCGGTTCGCCGCGTGCTCGTCTCTCATGGATACCTGCGCGATTCTGGGAAACGTATCATCGATGAGCGGATCAACACTCAAACGGGTCTCCTCCAAACACCGTGTGAGAGTTTCAGCTGTTGTTCTACCAATCACCTTCAATCTAGTCGGCACGCGCGTTCTCATTATCATATATATGTCTGGGTGGCCAGGCCGATCCTTTTGCAATGCATACGCGAAGCCCCCCTCAACAACCACCAGCTCGTGTTTTCCAACATTCTCGGTCCCAGCGTCTGCGTCCTCCCAGGTTGCAAGCTCATCGGGATTCTTCGCATACCTGACTTTCAATCGTGATTGGGTGCCGTCATACTTCCTACGCCTAACAAACACAACAGGTTCGATTCTGTCCTGCTCACCTCGGGCGGCGCAGGCAGACAAAGCAAGCTGGCGCACCTTCTCACATGCTTGTCTGCGCAACTGAAAGGCGGTGGAACTGGCGGCGAGGAGGCATTGGCGAAACTGGCTTTTCTTCAACCCGAACTTTTCTGCCAAAGACGAATGGGAAGCCAACAATCTAGTCATTCCTGTCTCGCTTTTGACAGTGCCCAACATTCCGTCAACATCCTCCTCGCCTGAGGCCGCCCCTCCTCGCGACGCTCGTCCACCCGAGCATCTCGAGGCCCCTCGACCAGCAGCGACACCGACGATGCGATCACAGGCTCAACAGGGGCGGCCTCGGCAGCGCATACAAGCGCCAACTCGGGAACATTCAAATCGTCTGCGTCGAACTGTACCCGAGGGGCGGCCAACCATTCATCATCATCTGATTCCGAAGCTCGCTCGGGTAAACTATCATTTACAGCAGCAGCCTCAACATCAACATTTCGAGGCTCCAACGCGTGCGAAATCCCAATCCAATCTTCATCGGAATCGGACATCTTGCCAACAGCCCCAACGGAGGCCCTCGGGCCAAGACAGCTACGGACGGAGAAGAGTATAACCAGGTGGGCCATAGCCATGCGTCGCTGGCATGAGCGACGCAACTGCGCAGGGCTCTCTCTCAGGGCTCTTTGAGGCCTTGTCGTATCATCGCTGGGCAACTTTAGGGCCACGAAACAGCATCGAGCAAACGCGGCGACAACCAAGCTTGCAATTTCATTGCGTTGACGGGCTGTCGCTTCTTGCGTTGGCGGGCGGGTGGGTGGGCGCCTCAAGCCCGCAACGCATTCGGAACGCGTTGAAGAAGGCCACGCGGCCGCTAGGGCCGCTAGGGATATGCAATCGATTGCACGTTGACCCATGCTGGGCTGATAAGTGCTATGGAGGCTATGTTGGGCCAACTGGGGCCATCTTGGAGACATGCGGCGACATCTCTGGGAGCGCCAAACACACGCAGGATCGTGCAAACACACACAGAGCAGCTATCGATTAGGTCCTAATCGATAGCTGCTCTGCGTTGCCAAATCTGTTGCGCCTGAAGGTCATCGGGGCGGCCCCGCCAGTCTTCGCAGACGCGTGAGACATGGGCAGAGGAGCGGCGGGCCACGGAGGAGAAGGGGGGAAGGGGGCGAAGGCGGAGGGGGAGGAAGAAGTGGGCTACTAGAAACGCTTCACGTGTGTGGAAAAAACTACCCCCTGAAAAATGGCGAACGGTCGCGGCGCGCCGCGTATCAGCGCGAACAGGCGCGAAAGCGATCGCACGAAATTATTGGTTTTTGACCAGGGATGGCGCCAAACAAAATCATCAAACATTGTTGCCCTGACCCTCGGCGCGCGCTGCCCCCCCGTCAAACATTGACCTTTCGCCCTTCGGCGCGCGCGCCGCCTCCATCCAACTGAGTCGTTGCGGCCGCCGACGGAGGGCCATCAAAATCCATCAACCCCAACGAGGCCCCCTTAGGCAGCCCCTGAACCCTCAAACCTAAGAGGAGTCGGCTTGCGGGGGGGGGCGGGCGCGCGGGAGGCGGGCGGAGGCATCGCCGGCGCCCCGCGCCCCCGGGGGGCTCCATGTTAGATTTTCCAGGCTGCGCCAAGCGCGCGCGCGTTACTTGCCCGCGCGCTCACATTCGCGCAAGCGCATCCTAAGAAACTATGATTTGGATCGGAACCGGGCGACAACGGGCATGGGGCGCCTGTCAAGGCTGCTTCTGGGAGCGATTGCTGCTGGCTCGACACGCGCGATATGCATGTAAAGACTTTTGGGGGACGGGCGCTGCGCCGTCCAATCCAACGCGGCAATGGCGCGGTCTGGGGCGCGCGGCCGTCGCGGCACACGGCGGTCGACGTGGCCGCATGGGGCGCGCGATCGGCCGCGCGGCATTTGCGGGCCATTCGGCCGACGCTGCCGGGTCGCCCTCAAACAGCCCGCCAGGAATACGCAAATGCGCAATGCGCCAGCGCGCCGCCAGGATATCGCCCTGAAAACAACCTGTTCACTCTGGGCGCCGACTGCGCGCGTCGCTGAACCAGCGAAGTCGCGCGGCGCGCCCGCGCCGCGGACCCGCCGCAATGAACTCGCGGGAAAAAGGCCTTTCTCCATGGGTTCTGGCACCGATTCTGGCCTACTTTCCAATTCTGGCCGATTCTGGTTCCATCCCCGATTCCTCCTTTGATTCCGCATTGATTCCGTGCTGATTCTTTTGATTCCGCTAGAATCAAGGGTCGCAGTTTGCCGATTCTGTTTTGATTCTGCACTGATTCCGCACTGATTCCTTTGATTCCCCTGTACCCCGGGGGCCATCAGGCCGCGGCCCGAGCTCCCGCCTCGGCGGCATGGTTTCTCCGGGAGCGCGGAAGAGTTTTGAGGGGGAGGGAGGCGGGGGGGGAGGGGGGGGCGGGGCGATTTTTGGGGCGCATCGGGCGGCCGAGCCACAGATTTCCGGGCCCAGTGCGCACGCCCAACATGGCAGGCGCGGGCGCGCGCGCGAGTTCTCGACCGTCGGCGCACCTGTAAGTTCATGCCCCGCCCCGCGCGCGGGAATGGAAACTTGCGTTGCGGTTTCCGATTGAACGCGCGGCCGTCGCAACTGCATCGCATTGCTCAGCGCGCAAAGCGCGCGAGCAGCATGGGGGGCTTTGCGTTCTCGCATGAGAAGTGCGCGGAACCGAACCGAACGGTCGGCGGCGCCCGCTCCTGCGCCGCGCGCGAGGCCATCGCGTCAGCGCGGGGGGCTACAAGGGCCTGGGCCGTCGCCCTGGGGCGCGGGCACAGCGCGAGGCCCGCGCGGGTCTCTCGCGCCAAACATGCGCAACAAGGTCGGCCCGCCCGCCGGCTGGCGCTCGCGGGCGACGCGACGCCGGCGCCGACTGCGAAGCCGACTGGGCCCAGAGGATTCCTGAGAGCCCCGGGAAAGGGCAGCGGGCCGCGATGGAATCGGCGCGGTCGCTGGCGCCCCCCCCGCGCCCGCCCCCCCCTGCAAGCCGACTCCCCCTAACGACGCCGACAACTGCACCGACGCGTGGGCCCAGCGCTGCGTGAGAGCCACCTGCGTGTCCCTCTTCCGACCCCTCCACCCCCCGCTCTACCTTCTCCCTTTCCTCCTTCCCTCCCTGCCCCTCCTCCGCCTCCGCATCCTCTTGGATCGGGGGTGCGCAAACATGGGTTAACGATCCATGGATTTCGCGCGCGGTCGCCAAATCCAGGGATCGGGGGAGGTGCCCTCCCCAAAATGCGGCCCGTGCCGCCCCGTTCGGCGGCGGAAATCCGCGATTCCACATGGAAACGGGACCCATCGCTAATCCACGCCCCCTTGATCCATGTTTGCGATCGACTGACTGGAGCGACGAAAAAAAAGGAGGAAACAAAAAAAAAAAAACGCCTGAGGCATCCCTACCACCGAAAGATAGAGTCTTGAAGGGCCGATGCAAGCAAACTCCCTTGAGTCCTCCCCACAATCTGGTCGCGAAGAACGGAGCATACAACCCTGTGGAGGCTCTCTTGCGGGATGCCGAAGTGCCACGCCTGCGATGTCGCGGTGAACATTGAACCACCAGAAAGGAACTGGCGGCGGCGGCGCCGAAACAAATGCACCGCTTGAAACGTCCTCACAATCTGGCCGCGAATGGGAGGGAGCAACACCCCCCGGCGGCTCCCCATTGGGGTGGCCAAGTGCCGCGCCTGCTAGACCGCGGTGAGCCACGAAAAGAGAAATGTCGGCGGCGCGGATTCAAAAGCGAATCGCTCGAGACATCCCCACAAACTGGGCGCGAAGGGGGGAGTTCAAAACACCCCCTGGCGGCTCCCCCGTGGGGTGCCCAGATGCCACGAAAAACTATGTCGCGGTGTGAGCGAATCTTAGTGCGACCCGGTCTGGATATGAGCAGGTCTGAGTCTGAGTGAGCCTGAGTGGCAGGGAATCTGCATATGAGTAGGTCTGAAAATGCGTGAGTCTGAGTGTTAGTAATAATTCTGAATGTGAGTGTGGCTTAGTATGAGAAAGTATGGGCATGAGTGAATCTGAGTGTGGGTGAGTCTGAAAAGGAGAAGAGAAGATGTGGATCAGTACGTGTACATCTAAGTCTTACTGTGGGCAAGTGTGATATAGGCGGGGTTCCACTCAGCATTATCTTAGGATATGAAAGCGAGAGGCGGGTGAGTGAGTGAGGCGGAGGTGCCCAAACAATACCAGTATCCCACTCTAAAGATCTGGGGAAATATCCCGATACGCATCCAATAACAACCGTCTTGTCGTCGTCGTCGCCATCGTCACCCTCTTCCCCGTATGACCATCATAACCACCTTAATCATCAACACCATCATCAACAACGACAGCCGCATCATCATCATCATCATGACTCATAATCCTCCTCCTTCTCATCCTCCTCCTCACCCCATGACCATCATCAACATCACTAACATTAACATTAGCATCCCGCTTCCTCTTCCTCCCCTTTTCCGCATGTTTCTCATCCACTTCTTCCTTATCCCTATCCTCCCTCCGCCTCTTCTCCTCCTCATCCTCATGCTCCTCCTTCGAAAAAAAGCCATGCCATGGATCCGTCACCGTGCTCCTGTGGCACAAATTGCGTATCCTCAGGTACTTTGCCTGACCCCTTGTAAGCCTCAGTCCTCGATCCTGAGGATAAGTTGAGGGGCCCGGACACCAAATTCTCAAATATTATAGGGCTTGCCGTGGCGTGTTGTTGTGAGACTTGGTCGGGGTAAAGATGTTCTCAAGACGGGCCCAAGAGGGACCCAAGAGGGCCCCAAGAGGCTCCCAAGACGGTCCAAGAGGGCACCGAGTCGCCGAAAGAGCGCTCAAGACGCCCAAGACGGTCTAAAGACGGACGAAGATGCCCCAAAGACGCCCCAAGAGGCCTCCAAGAGGCAACACACCTTCATGTTGGCTATGGTTTTTGAAAGATGTTGTTGTTCTCGCCTGTTCGGTTTTCGGCTTGTCGGCGCTCCAAGACGGGTTAAGAAGCCTCCGAGATTGCCCCAAGACGGCCCAAGAGGCCTCCAACAGGGACCTAGAACGGCCCCAAGGCCCCCAGGGGCCTCCAAGACGGTGCAAGGGGCCCCCAAGACGGCTTCAAAGGGGGGTTCAGACGGGGGACCAGAAGGGACACTTAGAGTCCTCGGCCCAGGCCCCCAAGAAGCCCCAAAGCTGCCCCAAGGGCCCCCGAAAGCGTTCCGAAGAGACCCCAAAAAGCACCCCTCCGACCCACTATCCAGGCACGGGATGGGCCGAAGGCCATTCGATAACTCATGATTCGGCCTGCACGGCTTGCTCGCGATCGTTCGTTTGACAGGTCTTCTTTCACTGTTCCGCTGTATGCTCCTACATTGCCTTGATCTATGCAATTCGCCTGGGCATCGTTGCTGGATGTGCTGGTGGGGATGCGCGAAGCGTCACGCACTGTAGCAACGGCATCTGCTCCTGAGGCGAAATCCAATTGGGACAACGACCTTCCTTCATTTTTGTGACCGTCGCAGTTGTTTAGACGCCCTTTCGCTAAGATGAGAACGCCATTTTGAGAACCATCCCCTTTCCATCCGCGCAACCCTTGCAAATTCCAAACTTCAAGATCATCAGCGGTGAGAAAGTCTGTCGCGAAACCAGCGGTCCGCCCTGCCGGCGCGACTGGGAGTAGGAGAGCCACGACCCTTCCAGAAGCAGGGAGTGGATGAGAGGGAGGACGAATCGGAGGAGCACAGGAGAACGAGGAGGAAGGGGGCAGGATGAATATATGAGGAATATGATGATGATGATCAGCATCATCATTATGATGATTATGATTATGACTATGATGATGGTAGAAATGATGATGGCAATGAAGAAGAAGAGGAGAATGGGTTGGGGAGGGCGCGGGAGGAAGGAGGGCAGAGACACAATGCACGAGCGAGAAATTCTGCAAGAGGCATCGCCTGGTCGGGCATCAGCCCAAGGATGGGCACGGCAGCCGTCGTCGGCTTCGCGTCGGGCGCCCTGTCGGCGGGCTCCCGAACGATGGTCCCCCGCACACGCCGCGAAACATTCCGCCAGCCCGGCTGGCCGACGACGCCGTCTCCCAACGCCTCCTCCTCGTCCTCCACCTCGTCCTCCTCGACCTCCTTCTCCACCTCCCCTGCCTTGGTCGATCCGCTGCGTAAGACCCCACCATGCAAGCACGTGAAGTGACGGCACGGGCAGAAGAGACGCTGTCCTGGGCCTGCTGTCCGAGCGGGGGGCCGAGGAGGCGCGCAGACAGACAACACGGCCACCTTTTCCAGCTCTCTCGCGATGCCAAGCGCCGGACGGCAGGGTTTCCTGGCCTGGCCGTCGTTACGCTGCCTGGTCATCCCGTGTAGATTATCTCGTGCTCTGGTGGTGGCAGTACACCTGGGCGCGCCACTTGTCAAGGGCATCCTCGATAGGACATGCGATCCACGGCTTCGCAAAAAGGAACCGTCGTCGCGGCGACGAGGGGGGCCAATGGGGAAGGCGAGCCGACTGAAAGTGCCTGCGCCCGTGCGGAGACGTCCCAAGTCGCGTTGCCAGGCAAGCAAAACGGCGGCGGCGGGCAGGTCGACGGCGGCAATTCGGCGCTGGCGCCGCCCTGCCCTGGCTGGTCGAGCAGCCGGTGATGAACCGATTGGGTATTTGGGTGCTTGCGTTGCGCATGCCGTGACCTGGGTCGCTTTACTCCTGCATTCTGGAAGCCTCGCATGCAAGGTATACCGTCGCTTGCCAGCGCGCGCTTCGCAAAGCCATTCAGCTCGATCGTCGCCTCGCAGTCGTCGTTGTTGCCGCTACATTAATCCCTCCTCATCTTAACTCGCATTATTTGCCCCTCTGCGCGCCGCCCCGATGGAATTAGCAACGCGAGGCCACGGATGTTCCCGGCCAGCGTCTTCACACAGCCGTGGGCCATGATCTCTGTCGGTTCCTTCCACGAAGCGGGCTCTGGGAGGAGCGGTTGGGTGACTGCGTCTGCCCCTCGGGGTGGAGTCATGTCCGCAGTCGCGCGGCGCCCTGTAATGGTCTCGAATGTTGCGTCGGCTAGTAGGTGCAAACTTGTCAACTCCTGCGAATGCAAGCCTTTGTGGGTCGCCGTTGCGTTGCGCGAGGACACCAACTGTAAATCGCGCCTCTCCGCCACCTACCTTGTTGAAGTGGTTGACGGGCGTCCTATGCTCTGGCTGCGGACCTCGCCCGGCGGCGCCAGGTCCCCGCGCGCCCCCCCCCCGCGCGGGGGGCCGCGCGAGTTCGCGGCGCCGCGCGCGGGATGATTTCGTCGAATGCCACACTGTCGCTGCGAGGGCGCATGGCCATAGCGCCCGCGCCGCGCTTCCCCGAAGAAGACAATGATCGAACGCGCGCCTAGCAAGACATCAACTGTCGCGGTAGGAAGAAATAGCCCCCCCAGGGGAACTGGCGGAGAGTCGCAAATAACGCGGTGCGTCGACGCGCGCGTTGCACGGCCACAAGGGGGCTTCCTGCGACAGCGCGCGCGCCCCATTGCGCGCGGCGGCGAGGTGCAAGGCAGCGCGTCGCAGCTGCCCCGTTGCCCACCACGCCCCCAAAGGCGCGAACTAACGGGGCGCCGCGCGCCGCGGCGGAAACAGCACGAAGGGGCGGGCGCTGCGCTGGCAGTCCAACATTTCGAATGACGTTGCGCGTTCGACACAGGAGGCGGCCCTCTTTTACTTACAGAGAGGTTACACAGCGCATGCGCCGATTCGCCACGAGTCCTGGGCGCGCGATGAACTCGCCGGCCTGCAAGCACAAAGACGGCCACTATGTTCTACGCAGCCTGCGCACACACACACACACACGCACAAGCACACGCACGCGCACTTGGCGTGTAAATGTGAACGTTTTACACGCGGGCCCCCTTTAATAATCCCCCATCCATTGCTGTCAGAAGGCGCCTTGAGGTCGACGGGTGGGGAGGTGGAGCGCGTCTGAATACGTCGCCATCGCGCGCGGGGCAGGGCCCGGCGTCGTTGGACTATCGTCGCTGGCGGGCGCGCAAATTCGTGACCTCCGGGTGGCCTTTCAGCATGGGCGTGCGGCACGTTGCTTCCACTGCAGCGGCTGCCCTCTGCCGCAGCCGTCGCCGGGCTGTCGCGCGGCCGTCGAGATTGGAGCAGGGCCCCCACAGCCTCCTTCGCATCTCGTTCGCTAGGTCGCAGTCGCGCCCCATCCGTTGGCGCTGCCACAATTGTGGCGCTCCGAGGCGCTGTCCAAACGGTCTCTGGAGACTTGTTGCGCCGTCGCGCGTTCGCTGCGTCGCCCGTCATCCCGTCGCCCTGAACGCCAGGGCCGACTGGCTTTGCGCGCCGCCTGAACGGCGCCGCGGCGCGCCCAATTGGTTTGCCAAAGCCTGTAAGTCTAACCGTCTGCGCTGCGCCCTCGGCCTGTGCGAGGCAGGGGTCGCCCTGCGGCGGCGGGCCATGCCGGTCTGGGCCGCGCATGCGCAGCGGTGCTCCAGAATTACCATGTGCGGCGCGGCCTACAGCTTGCCCGACGCCGCTTCGGAACTGCCGGCGGGTTCCACGCCGACCTCGGCCGCGTCCGCTGAATCGTCGCCTGTAGCCAGGTCGGTGGGCTCGCACGCCTCGGTTCTTAGCGGCGTGATCTGGCGCGGCTCGCCGGCGTCGATCGCCGCCCCCCTTTGTCCTCCGCGCGCTCGAGCTCCTGGATGTCGGCGTAGGGTGCTCTCTCACGGGGGCCGGCGACGATCCTCTCCCTGGCGGGCAAATTGATCCTCGCGGCGGGCTGGTATCTTGCGACATCAACTCCCCCGTCGCAGAGGTACCGTCATCTTTCTGCCGTCGGAAACGGACTGTCGACGTTCATGCCGATGATCCCGGCCAACCAAAAAAATTGGCTCAAAAGGTGGCATGGAACATGGAAGCCGCGCAATTTGCGCGGACCAATCTCGCCCGCCGTCGGACTGTCGCACCGCAGGAGGCGCGGTCGGAACACGCAGCGGGCTCGCCGGCGTCGATAATGGATCGGTCTGGGCGCGCGTCGTTCCGCTTGCGATACACATTCCCCGAAAAGATATCGGCCCCCCTGGCCACCCCGTCGCTCTTGGCCCGGGTCGGCCGCGGCCCAGACAACGCCCGCGGTGGAAAATGATGCGGCCCGTCGTCGTAGAGGGGGGCGCGCGCGACGAAGGCCTGCTCGATGGCGGCAACCGTGTTCACATCGGCAAGGCACTCGCTCGAATTTGCTGCGTCATGGCAAGCTTGGTGGTATGACTGCCATCTCGTCTGTGCGCCTCCCGTGGACCCCCATTCGCTTTCTTCTCGCTCTCATTCAAGCGGTAAGAATGCATGGCATGCTGGAATGCGTCGTCTCTGCCGTGCCCACCGCGGCCCCCTGCGTCGCAAATCGTACCTGCCATTCTGCCTGCAGTGCTCTGTTTGGGGCCTGGTGTTCGTGCTCTCTCATGTCAAGCGTCTTGTTCTTCGACCTGGCACTCAACGTTGTAGACCAACTGCTGGCACGCGTTGCGCATGCCACACACCGATGAATCCACGTCCCTCTGTTGTGCTTGCAGCTCCTCCCGCGCCTGCATTCTGGCCCCCTCCTCGGCACTCTCGCCGCGGATGGTCACTTTGTTGTTGTGCTCCTCCATCTCTGTGTCTGCCGCGCTCCTTTGCGTTTCTCGTTGTTGTGCCCCCCTGAGCTCCCTCTGTAATTTGTCTGTCATCTCGCTGGAACAGTTGATGATCGAGGTTGTCCTTGCAGCGTGGAGCTCCCGCGAGTTCTGCCAGGCTCCTCCGTTACACAAAACGGACGATGAGCCGCCATCTTCTCGGTGGTTAGCTTGGCATTGTGGGTCTCGCACATGGGCCCAGCGTGGTCGTGCTTGGCCTGTGCCGCCTCGCTGTGGTGGCTAACAGCGTGGTCCTGGGTTACTTCGTTTGCTGTCTGGAAGTACTTCGCGTGGGAGTCGGTATCGTTGGTGGCTTCATCCCCGTTTTGTTTGATGTCTGCGGCCACGCGGTGGTTGTCCTCATTGAGCGTCCCGAGTAGCACGCCGATACCTGGTCCCTCGGTAGTTTCTCCAACCCTCGTTTGCCTCCGCGGTGCTGGCGCGGGCGACCTCTTCGACGGCGCTAACAATTGTGGTGTGTCAGCGTCGTCGCCAACAGCTCCAATTTGATTGTAGTTGTTGCCCCTAGCGTTACCGATGACGCCCTTCTTCTCTGAGTTCGGGGTCGTCTGGTGGCAACTCCCAGTCATGTCTCCTGGTGGCCTAGGGATTCCTCATCAGCGTGACGCCGCTGATGGCGCTGGCGGCGTGGTCGTTGTAACCACTGTGTCTCTCTCATTTGTGGGCGGTTCTTCCTGTTAAAGATATTGATTGGCCCACGTTGTTCTTGTTATTGCCCGTATGGCGTTGGCTGTCGGCGTCGTGTTCGTTTTTGGTGGCGTTGCCCTTGCCGTTGCTGATGTTGCCCTTCCCGTTGTAGGTGTGGTCCAAATGCCTGTCGGGGTGGTCTAACGCCCATTGGTCCGTCCAGTTGTACTTCATTCAACGCTCGCGGCTTGCTCGGTGTCGACCTCCATGGTGGTGGCGCAGCTCCCGATCCACTCGCGGTTGTTCCCCATGACGCCACCACTGTTGGAACGTGCAGTGGAAGGCGTGGCGGTTGTTAAGCGCTCTGGTGCGGTGTGAAAAATCGTCAAGCTGAGTCGAGCTGGTACTGTGTCCTGGTCGAGCAGTTCGAGTGCTGCGGCGGCTCGTGGTACTGTTCGTGCTTGGGTAGGTCGGATGCCGACGTCGTGGCCTTAGTGGCCTTGCATGTTGATATGTGAATGGGAGACACAAGGAACTGATGTATGGCATGGACGTAAAAAAAAGGTGCAGAGTGACACAAGATTAGGTTCAGCGTGGCCCCTCCAGGCGCACTGCCACTGACACGCCTCAATCGCGCGGCGGTTCGTGGCTCCTCCTCTTCCTCTTCGTTATCCTTCCTCCTCCTCCTCCTCCTCCTCCTCCTCCTCCTCCTCCCTCCCTCCTCCTTCTCCTCCTCCTCCTCCTCCTCCTCCTCCTCCTCCTCCTCCTCCTCCCTGCCCCCACATCCAGTCCTCCACCACCCATTGCTGCAACTTTTTCCAGTTTCTGCTCCTCCTCCGAATCCGCCTCCACCTCCTCGGGCCTCCAAGCGTCGCGACAACAGAAAGCCCGAAAATGGGAACACCACTAGGTAACAATACCGCTAGTCCCGAGAACTTTCCCGGGGCGCGTTCTGACCGGAATTTCGGTGCGAATCTGGCGGTGGCGACGAAGGCCTCCCAGGAGGCCCAAACGAGGGAAATCGTGGGTACGCTTCTTTGGGTGACCCCCCAAAAAAAGGTCCAGCTGAAAGGGGGTGATGCGATATATTTGGGGCAATACACCGCCGCGACAATAGTTTGGCCCATTTATCTTTCCACGGCGAATGAAAGCGAGAACGTGGTAAGACTTGCGATGCCCCCCCCTCCCCCGTAGACTCCTACACCAAGACAACAAAGCGCCGCGGTGGCGCAGCCGCGGCGGAAGAAAACAAACTTCCACTGATACAAATTAGCAGTTACTCTTAATTCCAGCGGATTAGTTGTTCCGCATATTTTCTGGCGCGCTGACGCATGGAAAATGCTTCCGCGCCAGCGCAAGGGAATTCCACTGGGAAAGGCAAATGGGCCTAAACTTTCGTCCCGCCGAAGAGGCATCCAGTACCGTCGTTTGCAGGCCAAGTGCCCTCAACCGTAGTTTGTAGTTTCAACTCTTTGTCCGCTCCGTGCCTGCCAGCCTCCGGAGATCCCGCTGCGTTGCGTCCGCGCAGCGCCGTGCGTCGCAAGACGGATTACTCTGGTACGCCGATGGCCTCCGAACGCAGGACGTCGGAATGCTGCTCTCGCCGCGTAGCTGGCCATTGCGTTGTTCTTGTTTTTTCGACAATGCTTGTAGTGATGCGTGTCGAGACGGAAAAGTCGCGTGACCAGTCACAGGCGCTCCCCGGCCCCATCCACGGCGCGCTACCGTCCCAAGCGTGGTTTGCACACACACACACACTTACACACACACACACTCCTGAGATTTTCCGCGGGGCTACTTCCCCCAGCTCAGCATTCGGGGGGCACCGAGATCACCCCCTCGCCGCGCGCGCCGTCCGCTCCGCGACCGAACCCTGAAAATTCACACACCGCCGCGACAACAGTTTGGCCCACTTATCTTGCCACGGCGAATGAAGGCGAGAACGTCGTAAGACTTCGATGCCCCCCCTCCCCCGTAGACTTCTGCACCAAGACAACAAAGCGCCTCGGTGGCGATGCCGCGGCGGAAGAAAACAACATGTCCCACTGAGACTAATTAGTTGTAACTGCTTGTTCCAGGGAACTAATTATTCCGCCTATGGTTTGACGCATGAAAAATGTTTCCGCGCCAGTTCGAGGGAACTGCACTGGGAAAAGGTAAATGGTCCTAAACCTTCGTCCCGCCGGAGTAGTCTTGCAAATGTATTGCGCCAGAGAATTGCACTGCATTGTAAGTAATGCAGCTAACGTGTTGCACGCAGAATCCAGCAATACATTTGCGCCCCGGAAAGCATTGCACGCCCAAACGTATTGCAACCCCACACATCTCTTGCACCAGATCTATTGCACCACCCCCTTGTCGCTGGAACCCCTTTTGGGTCAGCCCGAAATTCCTTCGGGGATGGACAGACCTCCCTTTAGTAAAACGTGGTTTAGTGAAAACGACCTGAGGCCCAAACCTGTCGGGCGCAGGCGAGCGTCCAACGTTTTACTAAAGGGGTCCAGCGCGGATCCGGGAAATCCACGCGGCCCTCCGAGCTGTTATGCTTATGTCATTCCTCGTTCCCCTAATAGGTAGCTTCGAGCGCACTTCCTCCTCCGTCCCCCCCCCTTTCTTAGAGGTCAAAAAATCCACCCCGACACACGGAGTCGTTGAGTAAACGTGCCCAGAGAAGGAATCAAAATAGTGCAGGGCTGTTTAGTGAACGCCCAAGGCCGTTGAGAAACGCCAACTGTCCGGTCCGGGTGGCTTCTCCTCCCCTGATTTCTCCTCTCCTCCTGCGCCTGGCGGGCGGGCTCGTGGACGACGCCGAGGGCGTGGCGCCCGCGCCGCCGAGGAGCTCCCGCAGCTGCGGGAGGTCCAGGGCTGGCGCTGCGCCTCTCGCGCCGGAAGACGAGGCGGGCGAGCAAGCAAAGTGCGGAGCGCGACGAAAAGGAATGGCCCGTTCGCGCGATTGCACAGCGACCCTACGCGGCAGGCCACATTGGAAATGGGAACGCTTACGCGCCATCTTGCGCAGGCACCTTACGCGCCAGCGTCCGTGAAGACGACCCCGTTCCCGTCGCCTCAATGAGAACATAGCCACGACCACGTGGTATCGCTGTGATTACTGACTGCGGCCAGCCTCGGCGTGGCCGAGGAGATGGTGTCCTGACACAGCGCTGGTGGCCAGAAGGGCAGCGCAGGATGAGACGTTCCGCCATGGATGGGGGACCGCCTGCTTCGCGGTCCCGAAACCGTGCGGTGACAGGCTGTGCGGTGACCTCGGAATCCCCACGAGCCATGCGGAGACAGGGTGTGCGGAGACCTCACCGCACGGGCCGCAACCGCAGTGTCTCGGGCCTTGGAGGCCCCAGTCGCCCGGGGCGTCCTCGGAGAACGGCCCGACTCCTGACACCGTGCGGCCACCCCGAAGCCCCACGGACCCACCACGTGGTGGCCACCGCACCGTTCAGGAGCCCCCGGGCTCGCCCCTTCCTCCCTCGCTCCATCGACCGGCAAGCACACAGCAGAACTCTGAGATACGACGCCAAGGACAAAAATAGGAGGCCTGGAAATGGGCACCAACACCAACACAGGGGGTTGCCTCCACAGGGGAAAAATGATCCTAGATTTCGGTGTTGGTGGTAGTATTTCGGCCACCCTGGAAGCTAGGATATTACCACCATCACCGAGATCGGGATCTTCTCCCCTCGGTGGAGGCACACGGCCGATATTGGTGTTGGTGTCAACCTCTAGGCCTGCGGCAAACATTCAGCATCGTAGAAACCACGACCAACGGCGCCATGTGCCGAATCGTTATGCACCGTCTCTCGAGTCGGCTCGACCTGTGATGGGCCCGGGGCCCAGAGCTGGGCGACCACGCCTGGTGTGGAAGAGATGCAGCGCCCGTACCTCAAGGGAGGAGGAAGAAGAGGAGAGAAGAGAGCCCGAGGCGTCCAGGCCAGAGCACTTGAGTGAGGGAGGAGGAGGGGTAGGAGGGGGAGGAGGAGGAGGAGGAGGAGGAGGAGGAGAAGGAGGAGGAGGGAGGGGAAAAAAGATATGCCCGAAGCACTAATTCGGCCTCTCCACAGAACAGAACCGTAGGCCCAGCCGAGCAGAGCAGCAGAACGCCTCGCAGGAGGGGGGGGCGGGGGGTCAAGCAAGGTGAACCTGAGTGAACATCAAACTGAAGCCGAAGTCCGCCAAGCACCTCAGCCTTCTGGGTCCCTCTTGGCCGCGGTGGTGCACAAAGCTCCTACGATCTGTGCTTTGCAATCGGTAAGATGTTCCTTGATCTCGGCCCTCGAATGCCGTCTTCGGGCCCTGGGGCAATCAAACATGGATCCGGGACGAAACACTCAAGGAAGAGGTCGGGAACTCTGGGGCCGGTGATTGAAAAGAAGCATATCGGATGTCTGGGCCTGCAATGTGGGGGAAAGGGACGCTGGCGAAGACACAGGAGGAGGTACGGCAAGTTGACGTCGCGATGGCTTCGGCGTTGGTTTCTGACACCACGTGGATCGCCCGACCTTGAAAGATCGCCGCCTTCGATAGCGCGCGCACATCGTTCGATATCGGCCGATTGCAGGACACTGGCGGCCTTCACCATGATCCTGAACGCTCGCGCTGGGGCCGACGACGCGTCAACGTGGCGAGAATCTAATAGGAAGGATGGGAAGAAGGGCAGAGGGAAGGGAGGGGAACGGTAGGGGGATGAACGACGCGGGAGGAGGCGGGCTGCCTGCAGCGGGGTAGGGCTCCCTGGCGAGGACTGACTCGCCCGGCAGGCAAACTTTCTTGAGGCAATTTGGGGCGCCAAGCTGGGGCACCGAGATCAACTAAACTCGAACGCGGAACGCTTGCTGGCTCGGCAATACCGCGCCTTGTGGACAGCTAGTGCTAAGTCGACGACCTGGCTTGAAGCTCCTCCTCCTCCTCCTGCTCCTCCTCTTCCTCCTCCCCCTCTTCAAACTACAAACTACCATACCATTCCTACTTCCTCTGTCTCCTCCTCGGCATCCTTATGTTCCTTCTAGTCCTGCACAGCCCAGAGCTTCCTCACCCCGCTTTTTCCTGTGACGCCTCCTCCACCTCCTCCTCATCCTCCTCCGTAGCCATTTTGGCTCAAGCCATTTTGGCTCACGCCATTGTGGCTCAAGGGGAGCGGTGGCAGCACGCACCTCGCAGCGGCGCGGCGCTGCCGAGCGAAGGGCCGGGCGGGCGCGCATGGTACGGCGGGACTCCCCCAGCGCCCCCAGAACCCCGTGGAGGAGCCGCTCGCCGCGCGTCCAGGACATCGACCGCCTTGTCACCACGGCGGCCCGGGCGGCGGTGGAGGCGGGCGTGCCAGCAGCCGTGCGCAGACCGCCTCGGGAGGTGGTGCCAGCAGTTGTGAGGCCTGCGGGACGGCCGCGCCCATCGGTGGCGCCGCAGAAGACAAACCTCGCCCTGGAGGACAGGGCCCCGTCGCCCCCCCCTGGCGAGTGGGAGGTGACGCAGTCGAGGCATGCAGTCTTGACGGCGGTGCCCAACTCGTCGGAATCGGCGGGAACCTCGAGAACATCCAGGTCTCGCACAAGGCGCCCACGCTCGCGCATCCCCACGCCCTGGGCGGGCTGGCTCTCGGACCCCCAGCGGCGATCAGTGTGCGATTGGGGGCCGCTGCGTCCCCCCCCCCCCCGAGCCTGTCCCTCCCCCTGTCGTTGCCCCCGACGCTGACGAACGAGCAACACACACCCGTACCCAATAGGAGGATCGGAGAGGGCTATGGGTGCGTGTTGTCGGATGGGGGTCCCCGCTCGAACGGGAGCGTTCCCCAGTGTCCGACAACCCGCACCCATACCCATAGCCAGTCCTCCTCCTTTCGACCCTCCTATGGGTATGGGTGTGAGTTGTTCGCTCGTCACTGTCGTTGCCCCCGACGCTGCATCTTCGTCGCCGCCGCGCCGCGGCAGCGGCAGCGGCGCTGCCCCGCGGCGGCAG